TTCCCTACTAACATACACCCGCTCCCCCAAACGACTGGGAGCCAACCAGGGACAATGAGGTACCCACCACCGTTCCCTTTTAAAAACAATATTATCCCGGCAAAGCAACCTAACAGCGATGTGTAGAAGCATATATGGAAGCATTCTCCTTAAGATTCAGATGAGAATCCAGTTGTAGAGTTCTGCTGTTCTCGCAGTCGCAGTCGCATTCGCGATGACAGTCGCAGTGGCAGCGGCAGTCGCAGTCACAGCCTCAGCCTGCCTCAGTATCAGCCTGCCTCAGCCACAGCCTCAGCCTGCCTCAGCCTCAGCCTCAGCCTGCTTCAGCCTCAGCCTCAGTCTGCCTTCAGCCTCAGCCTCTGTGCCTCAGCCTGCCTCAGCATCAGCCTGCATCCGCCTCAGCCTCAGCCTCAGCCTCAGCCTGCCTCAGCATCAGCCTGCCTCAGCCTCAGCCTCAGCCTGCCTCAGCCTCAGCCTCAGCCTCAGCCTGCTTCAGCCTCAGCCTCAGTCTGCCTTCAGCCTCGGCCTCAGCCTCAGCCTCCCTCAGCCTCAGCCTGCATCAGCCTCAGCCTCAGCCTCAGCCTGCCTCAGCATCAGCCTGCCTCAGCCTCAGCCTCAGCCTCAGCCTCAGCCTCAGCCTGCCTGCCTCAGCCTCAGCCTCAGCATCAGCATCACCATTCTCAGCCTGTGCCTCAGCATCAAAATGTGGCCCGGGAATGGAGTTCTGGGAACTCGAAGAGCACGAAGTGGCCTACAGTTGGCTCCGGGCATTCAAAATGTGGCCCGGGAATGGAGTTCTGGGAACTCGAAGACCAGGAAGTGGCCTACAGTTGGCTCGGGCATCCAAAATGTGGCCCGGGAATGGAATTCTGGGAACTCGAAGAGCACGAAGTGTGTGACTGTTGCATCCGGCCCTCCAGAATGTGGCCCGGGAATGGAGTTCTGGGAACTCGAAGAGCACGAAGTGTGTGACTGTTGCATACGGCCCTCCAGAATGTGGCCCGGGAATGGCGTTCTGGGATGTCGAAGAGCACGAAGTGTGTGACTGTTGCATCCGGTTATTCTAAATGTGGCCCGGGAATGGCGTTCTGGGATGTCGAAGAGCACGAAGTGTGTGACTGTTGCATCCGGGTATTCAGATGTGGCCTGGGAATGGAGTTCTGGGAAGTCGAAGAGCACGAAGTGTGTGAGTGTTGGTGAAAAACGAGCCCGGCACCCTGCCGCCCGGCAACTCCCCAACACCTGCCCGGACCCCCCTGTGGAGTGATCTGTGAGCTCTTTTGAGTCAACTAGAAACCTATCAGTCTTCGCTGTTAGGTAACAACACACACGCTGCCTCAAATTCGGAGCATGCGCAGCGAACCCGATGCAGCCTCCCCCCACCATCACTGTCAAAAAACAATACAAAGTACACTTGGCGGCGGCGGCGGCTGCGGCGTCTGCGGCGGGGGCAACGGCTGCGGCGGCTGCGGCGGTGGCGGCGGCGGCGGGGGCGGCGGCGGCGGGGGCGGCGGCGGCGGCGGTGGCGGAAGCGGCGGCGGCGGTAGCGGTGGCGGTAGCGGCTGCGGCGGCAACGGCTGCGGCGGCGGCGATTCGGCAGCGGGGGCGGCGGCGCCGGCGGCGGCGCGGCGGCAGGGCGGCGCGGCGGCGGCGTGCGGCGGCGGCGGACGGCGGAGGCGGGCACGCGGCGGCGGCGGGCGGCGCGGCGGCGGCGGACAGCGGCAGCGGCTGCGGCGGCGACGCGGCAGCGGCGGCGGGCGGCGGCGGCGGCGGATTCGCCCCCAGTAGCTGCCCATCCAAAGACGACTGCTGAATATGCTGCGGCTCGGGCCAGGCTCGGGTGCTACGTATGTGTTGGGAGGGCGGGTGGGAGTGAGCGAGACGGCTGGCGGGCGGGGAGGGAGTCTTATCATTGTTTCCCTATTATAAAACAACCCCAGCCCCCCGGCGACTGGGGCAAACCAGGTCCCATGCCGACCCCACCCCCCCATCCCTTGCAAAAAAACAATACGAAACACACTCTGCCTCCAAATTTGGAACATGCGCAGCCAGCCCGATGCGGCCCCCCACACCATCCCTGTCAAAAAAACAATACAAAGTACACGTGGCGGCGGCGGCGGCGGCTGCGGCGGCTGCGGCGGCGGTGGCGGCGGTGGCAGCGGTGGCGGCGGTTGCGGCGGCGGCGGCGGCGGCGGCGGCGGCGGCGGTTTGGCAGCGGGGGGCTGCGCGGCGGCGGCGGCGGCGGCGGCGGCGGCGGCGGGCGGCGGCGGCGCGGCGGCCGGGCAGCGCGGCGCGGCGGCGGCCGGCGGCAGGGCGGCGGCGGCGGCGCCGGCGGCGGCGGGCGGCGGCGGCGGCGGCGGAGGCGGCGGCGGCGGCGGATTCGCCCCCAGTAGCTGTCCATCCAAACGCGACTGCTGGATATGCTGAGGCTCGGGCCAGGCTCGGGTGCTACGTATGTGTTGGGAGGGCAGGTGGGAGTGAGCGAGACGGCTTGCGGGTGGGGAGGGGGTAACTTGACCCCTCCCCCTACCCCCGACCTGGACGGGGGGGTTCGGTTTTACTACGGTTTTGGCTTCAGTTTGGCCTCCAAAGGGGGGGAAGCTAATTTAGCGCCCCCCTCCTCCTGTGATCGATCTCCTCCAAGATGGCCCCACCAGGCGCCCAGGAGGCCCCAAGAGGCCACGAGATGGCCCCAAGATGGACCCATGTGGCCCCAAAAAGCCCCCTAGAGGCCCCCAGGATGCCCCCAAGAGGCTCCCAAGAGACCCCCACGAGGCCCCAAGAGACCCCCCGGAGGCACCCAAGACGCTCCAAGAGGCATCGGCGAGAATGCCGAAATCATTGATTGTACGAAGGTTTTGGCCTCTTTTAGGCCTCCTGGGGAGGGGGGGGGCACTGCTTCAGATGACTCCACGAGCGCCTGAGAGAGCCCAAAATGACCTCCAAGATTGCTCAAGATGTCCCAAAATGCCTCAAGATGGCTCCCACGATGCTCCAAGAGGCCCCAAGACCGCTTCAAGACGGCTCCAAGTGGCCAAAGAGCTCCCCCAGCCAAAACCTTCGGAAAATCATTGTTTTGGGCTTTCTCGCCTTTTCGCTTCCGATGGCCATCCAAGGCTTCAAGATGACTCCAAGATGGCCCAGGAGGGCTCCAAGAGCGCTCCAAAGGCTCCCAAGAGCGCTTCAAGAGGGCCCCAAGAGGCGCTCAGGAGGCCCCAGGAGGCCCCAACAGGCGCCCCAGAGGCCTCCACGAGGCCCCCAAGAGACCCCCAAGACGCTCTAAGAGGCGTCCGGGACCGCCAAGAGGCCCCCAAGACGCTCCAAGAGGCCTCCACTGGGGGACCATTCCTCTGTGTGCTGCTCACTTCCTTGATCGAGGCACTTCCTCCGGGCATCGTTTCTGGATGGGCCGGTGGGGTTCCGCGAAGCGTCTAGGATTGGGGGGGGTTTCGATGGGGATGGGGATGCGGCTGAATTTCTGTGGACTCACCGCACTT